AGCTAGAATACTACCTTCATACAAAGCTTTTAAGTCAGGGGTGGGGGGGGCAGGTGGCAGTGGGCTGGAGCACAGGGCCCATTCTGGTGCCCTGGGGCCAGGGCCCAGGGCAGCAGGAGCATGGGGTGTGGGCTAGCAGGGGCTCTGTGGGGCTGGGCCCAGATGTGCCAGCAAGGAGAGGGGCAGAGCCAGCTCAAGCCCCATGCTGCTGCTGCTGCCTCACCCTTGGTCCCCACCAGCCCTGACCCTGTGCTTCCATCCAACTGTTACTGCGCTCTTGCCCACTGCCACTCCCCACCTGCCTGCTGCTACTGCAACTGCCATTTCTCCGCTTTACCACCCACCACTGCCGGTTCTCCCCACCCCTTCGACCACCTGCTGGCCACTCCAGCACTACATGGTTTCTGGCTGCATTGCCAGACCACAAGATGCAACAGGAACCAGCCCAGCTCCAAAGACTAGGGTGATCACCTGTGGTCCTCCCCTCACCCCCGTCCATTTTTAGATGAGTTGCACGAGGGCAGGGGAACAGCACCAGGGTCCCCAGGCCACAACTTCCTGCCTAGCAGAGGGGATGCTAGGCAGAGGCTTCTGGTTGGGGGCTAGGTGGGAGGGTGGGGCTGGGCAGGCCTTGCTGCTGTGACTGCTGGGTCCTGCTGGCCCTAGGTTCTGCCATCAGCTCGCCCTGGGTCCTGCTGCTGCTGGCGCCTTGTCATCTTGGACAAGGAGCCAGGGGCAGATCATAATTAATTTTCTACATTTTTTAGGGGCCCTGTGGACCAGATAGAATGGCCTGGCAGGCTGGACTCAGCCCAAGACCCAGATTTTGCCTGCCCCTGGTCTAAGTGCATAGATTGAACCAATAAGCAACTGAATAAACATTCACTTTTGATTCCAGAAATGCAGCCATATGCCTGCAGTGGCTCAGGCTAGGGGGTTGCTAGAGCATTCCTCCCTGCTTGGCTGTAGTAGACAGCTTGGACCAAAGCTAAACTACCCGCCCTGTGAGGTGGGGTTTGCAGGGGAGGTGCAAAGCATTGTGGCATGGTGATGGGACTGTGAGTTAAGTTGAATCTGAGTGGATCTGGGACAGAATTTCAGTAAACTGATTTAAAATAAATTAGTGAAACCTGATGCTGCATCCATCCAGGTTTATCTTAAACTGGATTTGGCCATTTTGATGGCAGTTTCCATTCACTGAACTTCTGCTGTTACATATTTGAACTGATTTCTTATCACTTATACTGGTTTATATGTAATTTCTGTCCCTAGCCATAAAGTCCTGTTTAAACTTCATTACGATAATGATTTTAAAGGTTACGTGGCATCACAGAGTACATCTACCTTTTCCAAGTTGTTATATTCCTAGAAGAATATTGCAGGAGAATGGGAAATGCATAAGCAAATATGAAAGCAGAACACATCACAAGTAACTTTCTGAATTGTTCCTAAAATGCTCAGTTTACACCACATGATGAAAGTCTGTTTTCTGCAGTTTGTATTTTGAATTGACCCAGCCACTTGTTCAGTTGAATATGTCTAAGTAACATGAGCCTGTTTTTTGATTGTTACAGGTCTGCTGTTAAAGCCTTGCGTCCTGGAGGAACACTGGTCTATTCTACATGCACCCTCTCAAAGGCAGAAAACAGTGACGTCACAACCCAAATCCTAAACTCCTGCAGCAATATTCTGCCTGTAGACATAAGAGAAATGGCCAGTAACATTTCCCAGGAGTTCACTCTTGCCAGCAATGTCCAGCAATACGAACTCTTAGTCCTCCCAGAACGGGGGAAAGCGTGGGGACCAATGTATATAGCTAAACTAAAGAAAACTTAGTGTGTGCGCTTTGTATGAGCCTTTTGTAAGTCACGTTGACAACTTTTTCTAAACACATACGATTGTATGTATATGAACTGTAGCAAATGTTAACAAGGCAGCGTGGGCTAAGTAGCTTAGATTTAGAGCTGTGAAAGAATACCCCAGACATCCTGAAACGTGAAATTTGAGATTTAATTGGGGAATGGGGCAATACTCGGATATGGTCTGAGCCTGCAACTGGTTCTGTCCAGCAGAGACTGCTGGAATTATGTGAGGTCTTGCAAGGTGGTGGCAAGACTTTGTTTTATGAGGTATAATTGTAAAATGGAGTCCTTTCTTGAGTGCTTCCTAAAGTACTATAGTTGATAGGATTTCTCCCTTTTCCCCTGAACCCCGCCCTTTAAATGCAACACATTTTCAAAATAAATTGCTATGAAAAATGCTCTGCATAAGAATTGCTGGCTTGAATGACCATTTCCTAAGCATCCCAACTTTAGCGGGTTTTTTATTATTTCCAAATGTGCCTACATGTCTCTGATTATCTATAAGAGCTCATTTGTATGCAGAACCTGGCTTTTTAAGCAGGGACTATTCTAAGCTCCAGCAAAACAGGTTTCTTATTTGCCAAGTTGTTTACTGGTAAGAACTGTCTTCTATTTACTGCAAAGGTCAGCAACTATATTGACATGAGCTTTCTTCTCTCTCTCTTTTTTTTGCAGATTATCAAAATATAAACTGAAAGGGTAAATTATGTTGAAAAGCCCCTAAAACAGTAGATTTGCAGACATGTGTTTAGCTTTGACATTAAGTTTGTGGAATAATACATCTATTGAGCAAGCTACAGAGCAAGGACTCGAAACAAAACCTAAATGATTAATAACTGCATGGTATTCAGAGAGTTTTGTTACATAACTGCAGTCACAATGAGCAATACAGACAATCCTGAGAAATGGCTTATTCACTGGGTCATGAAATATTATGAGAATTGGTGATGGCATAGCTGTAGTGGACAAGGAAAGAAAATCCCAATGAGATCATATAGTAATGTTGATGTGCCAGAGCTCCAGCTCTGTGTCAGGTGCTCTCCTATTCCACATCCATATACACAGGATGCCACCTTCTGTAGTGGAGGCATGGCCCTCTTCCTTGGATCTCTCAAGTTCACTGGCAGAAGCAGGACACTGACAGCCCTCATCCCCCTCCTTTACCTGTGGCAGGTTAAGGTGGTTTTGATATCTTGCAGCATACCTTGTAGCTGCGTGACAGGGTTGATGGCATAGTTTTAAGAATGGGTTAGACCAGGACTTATATGGGATGCCTTGAGCAGGGGATTGAACTAGTTGACCTCTGGAGGTCCTTTTCAACCCTATTTTTCCAAGATTCTGTGATTCTAATGCAGCCCTTTTGACAATTCTGATTATAAAGGGTCAAAGGCAAGTTGCTGTTTAAAAATTACTTTAAAATACTATTTAGGCCTCTGCCACCATTGAACCCACTAGTGTCTGTGAGCTTATTCAAAATCTTTCTATTTAAAGTGTTTTTTTCTTTCCAATTTTGCAATCTGAAAAGGCCCCCACAAACAGGGGAGATCAAGTGATTATTCTGGGAGAAGACTAGAACTGGAAAATGGAAAAAAAGCATCCCCAAATCATTTAGTAATTGTAAAGTGCCAGCTGTTAGAGTAGCAGGTAAAAATCAGATTTTCTCTGAAAAAATAATTTGTTCTGCTTAGTTTCTTACTGGTGTTATTCTGCTGGTTACTGACAATGCCAACTTCTTGTCTCATCTACTCTGTCAGTTTTATAAACTGCCCGTCAAATGCTTTAGTTTTGCCTGTACTGCACATGGTGGCTGCTTGGAACTTTACAATACCAGCAGGAATAGATTCAGGCCTTACTGCTCGAAAGGCCAGCATTTGAGCTAAAGAACATCTTGGTTAACAGTACAAAGCATATGACAATTTGAGCAGTTCTGATTTCTATCTAGTGTAGGGTAATATACATCCAGTAGCCAGTTCAATATTGTATATTATACTACAGAGATTTGTCCTGTGGACACTTCACAATTTGCTGACAACTTTTTTATCATCTCTGCAATCCCAAAACATTCCTGTGGCAACAAAAGGAATTTATTACATGGAAGAGTAAGTTGTCAGTGTGTTTTTTAACTTTTTAATGTAATGTAGTGCCCAGGCCATCTCCTTAAAGAGGGGGCTGTGACCTGACCAGCATGGACACTCATCCTGGCCTCCCACCCTACAGCTGGCCACCCAGGCTGGTCAAGGCTGTATTGAAACCTCCAGCGAGGCCTAGCCCTCTGACCATTCATTGGCACTACGGTGGTTGGCTGGGGTCAGTAGAACTTCTACTTCCCCTGTATAAATCCCTGACCCAGAACAGGAAGTGGGCAGCAGAGTTCGTTTTGACTGCTTTGCTATTTCCCCCACCTTGTGCTCCTGACTCAGCATATGCCTAAACTTGTTCTCAGATTCACCTCCTGGCTTGCTGGTGCAGCTTGTCCCTGGAAACTGCTCATTCTGGCACCTCAATCCCCAAGTGAACCCAGGCCTGGCTGCTTACGATCTAGTATGGCATATAGTAGCTTAAAACTAGGAAGGTCAGCATCATGTATTCAGCCAGTTCTTTATAGGCCGCAATTTAAGACTTCTTGCAATAAGAAAATGTTAAATTAAAAAAAAATTATATACATGCAGAAAAGCTATATTCATATACAGTGTTTAAATGTAGTCCCTGCATATTGTGTGTATGCTGTCAGTTTTATTTTTTAAATGCATAGTTTATAATCTCCAGCGTGAGAATGTTGTACATGTCTTTCACACCTGCTTCTTAAGATGGAGTCTCGCCTTCAGGCTTTCCTATTGAGGCAGAATGGGATTAATATACCATCATTCCCCACCGTGTCCCATTGCCTGAAACAGACTCTTGACTGCCTGCAGTCAAGTTGCCTTGATTCTACTGCTTCTCTAAACTTCTGTTGCTGTAGATAGGGTGAGAGCAGTTTGCCCTGAAAACATTCAATGTTACGTGCCATAGAGCTTATTGACTGCCTTTGCCCAGTGAATTCCCAGCCTTCATGGGCTGAACTTGATGCAGTTCCATAGGCACACATTAGGAAGAAGAAAAAATCAATATTGTCTGCTTCAGTGGGGAGTTATTTTGAAATAGCCCTAAAGCAGTTTGGGTTATGTGGTTTGTAACAGCAAGGGAAGAAAAGGCAAATAATAAGGCAAAAATAATACAATTATAAAGACTGCTCTAAAATTAGTCATTTTTTATTTAGTCATTTCAAAATATATGTATTAAGTTTATAATCTGTGTGTGTGTGTGTGTGTGTGTGTGTGTGTGTGTGTGTGAGAGAGATATGCACATGCACGCATTCATATTGCTGCTAGTTACTGATCCATAAGTCTACTGCTAGTTCCAAGGCCTTTTTATATGTATTGAGCAGCAGGCTGCTTGACAACCCTTCATTCATACATTGTAAGGCCAACAAGGTCTTTTATGGTCATGCAGTCCAGTCTCCTGTGTAACCCAGCACTTCCTGTGCTGAAAACATTTACAGAATTCATTGCAACAGCTGAGCAACATCTAAATCAATGGTTCTCAAGTAGGGTTACGCAGATTTTGAAGGGTGCTGCAGGCCAAGTAGGGTGCCGTGAAATCCTTTGACAGGTGCTGCAGGGTCTAAGGAGGGAAGCACACATTCCTTCTGCCTGGCCCTGTGTAAGGAAGTAAGCCCTGTAGTAAATTAGTTGTAGAATTGGGGTGTTGCTCTGTTCACAAAAGTTATGGAGGTGCCTTTTTGTCAAAAAAAGTTGAGAGCCCCTGATCTAAATGCTAGGGAGCCATTTATACTGCACAACAAAATAATCTCAGAATCCGTTTCCAGGAATGTTTCACATACAGCATGCATGAGTGAAATAACCTCAGGAGGTTAATTGCACCTCATGGGAGATGAGAATTAGAGGCAGTGGCAGTAATTTCTATAGATGCCAAACAGGTATTTAGCTTTCATTTAATAGGAATTTACTAAGCTATTCCTCAGGTAAGTTTGGCTCTGGAGATGAATATAAGTAGTTCGAGCTGTTGATGTGTGTGTGACCTTGCCAAACCATGGCTTTAGCCCTTCACCCCTCCTTCCCTTACTACTGCACTGGGGTGCTTTTATTGTACACATTAGGTTATGCACAAAGCGGTTCTAGATCGGTGGACAGAAAAGAAACCCATCCTCAGCCTTACATAGTCTCTGAGTTCCCCAGAAGGCAGTCCTGAGGTAGTCTCTAGAGTGGGTGAGTCCTTGGCTCCTGGTATTTTTAAGACCAGGGTTTTGGGTCCATGAACCTTTGCACCCCAGTTTTTTTATGGTTCTGTCAGAGGGGTATCTTCTGGGAAAACTGGAGGGGGACTTCAGTTCTTCCAGGGAGTTAAGTGCACCTTAAGTCACATGGAGCAAAGGCAGGCTTCTCAAGCAAAAAACCAACCTTTTTCAGTCAACTAGAATACAGCATGCAGAGTCTTTGCCCCATTGCTTAGCCTAGCTCCCCAGGCAGTCTCTGACAGGTAAAAGAGCCCTTGCTGTTCTGTCTTCCCACAAAATGCTCAGGATCCTCTTTGGCCTCCCTCTCTCTCAAGATGCCTCTCTCAGGATACCACCCAGCTCCTCTCCCAGCTCTGCTAAGGTACTTCCTAAAATATTTTTCAAAAATGCCTGAAGGAAAAACTTCTTTACCATCTGAGCCCCCAAGGCCTGGAACAGACTCCCTCCAGAGGTAGTGCAGGCACCTCTGGACACTTTTGGATGCTTATTTTGCTGGGATCCTTTAACCCTAGCTGACTTTCTGCCCCTTGGGCAGGGGGCTGGACCCGATGATCTTGCAAGGTCCCTTCCAGCCCTAATGTCTATGAAATCTGCTGTGCTTTGTGCTCCTTCACTGTCTGAACCTCTCCAGAGCTGAATTCTGTGTTTTGTCTCTGATTTTCTCCCCCCAACCCTTTCTTTTAGCAGTTTTTACCTTTTGTCTCAGCATCTCCTTACCCTTCCCCAACTCGCACATACCTTTCCTGCTAAGCCAAAAATAAAGCTTTGGTAACTTCTCTGTTGCCCCTTGCCCTTGTGCCTGCCCTGACAGCTTTGGGTTCCCATCTCCCCCTGCCAAAGTCTTTACCTGCCGCTTGCCCCTCTACCTACCCCTTATTTTTGCTGTGACAGTGATGGACTCCATGCACACTGCAACCTGGAGCATTGACCACAGCTCCAGCTCCAGCCCCACCCTGTAGCAGCAGCATGGAGATAGCACAGCTGCTACAGGGTCAGGCTGAGGCTGTGCTCTGTGCTCCAGGCGGCAGCAAGGACAGAGCCTGCCAACAAAGGTAAGGGGGAGTGTGGTGGTGGGAGGTGGAGGGAGAAGTGGCAGAGTGGAGAGATGGGGTACAGCAAAGGCCTGAGGCTGCAACTTTGGCTCCAGCCTGAAGCCATGGTTGGTGCTAGAGCTGGAGCCTTGGCCACAGCAGCTGTCTGTCCCCCGCGACCTCGTACTTGGTTCTAAGATGAGGAGCTTTCCCTCTATGTTAAAGGTGGGGTGGGGGAAATGTCATCTTTTACTCAAGTAAATATGGTAACAACACCCAACGAAGCGCTGGAGAGGGTATGCTCAAACTCAAGCCTCCTTCCAAGAGCGCCCAGAGGCAATCTGGTTCTTTTTAAACCTATAGAAAAAGCATGCAGAACAAAAGATCACTGGCCACCATAAAACCCTATAGGGATCAAGTGTTTAGGGGTCCTTCTGAGATCTGAGAGTGTGCTTTTACATGAAGTGATTTGCAGACAAGCCTGCCTGCCCAGGGCCATTCAGCACCTGTATGAGGGCCTCCCCAAGCTCAGTGTCTGAGGCAGACACACTCAAACGGGAACTTGGCAGAACTGACCACTGCTATTGAGGCCCTGCCACGAGGAAGGTGCCAGGCTTTCGCTGATTGTCCAAATTCTACAAGATTTTCTGGCCCCTCCCCAGGCTGGACATTTTGCGCATTTCCCAGGAGAGCCTTGAAGATGGGATCCTACTGGTCAGCTCCTTGCAAGCAGTCCTTCTGCTGCCAAAGAAAGGGGATATCAGTGACATTAAGAACTGGTATATCAGCTCAAAACAGTCATGGCTTCAGTTGTAGACCCTGAGCAAGAGCCACTACATGCCTGGTAGAGTTATCCAAGATAACCTGTTTCTGCTGCCTGACCTGCTGGCAGCCCCAGAACTCTTTGACCTGACCATTGGCCTTGAATCAAGAAAATACCTTTGACTGAGTCAATCTTGACTTATTCCAGACTCTGGAAATGGCATTGCTTTCTTGTTCTGGTCATACACCATCAAGCTGACTCAAGCTAGTCTACCTGGCTCTTAGCAAAAGCTGTGGCTGACGGGCTGAGCCTGCACTTTGTTTGCTTTGCTTTGTGCCTCTTGGCTGCAGTGAGAGCTGCTCTTCCTGTGGATATTCTTGCTGCCCTGGAGGACCACCCCACACATGACAAGGCCTCCTGGATGGCAGCTTGCTACGCAGACCCTCCCTCCCTCCTGCATCACTGCCTATTTCTGTCACAGAAAGACTGTCACAGAGGA